TCTCAATGTCAACAAACTCACCATTAATATAAACAGTCTCTTATGCATGGACCTGAAAGGTGTTTTCAATTTTTCATTCTTAGAAAAAAAAAAAAACAAGAAGACTATGCAGGACTTAGATCTATGCATCTATGTGCAACTATTTCTACAGAATAAATTCCTACAGGGGGACCTGCTGGAAGAAAGATCTGTACATTTTTTAAAGTGATATATATGGCCAAACTGCCCCAAAACTGCACCAATCTATACTTCTAGCAATAATGTATAAAAACACCTGTTCCTCTCTATTCATCAGAATTGGGCATTATCATTCTACTTACCTTTTGCAAAACTATTAAAAAGTTCTTACTGTTGTTTGAATTTACATTTCTTCTAAAATAAAACTCAGTTTAACAGTTTCTCAAAAAGTTAGAACATAAACTTGTCATATAACCCAGTAATTCCATTCTTAGGAATCCACTCCAAAGAAATAAAAATACATGTCCAGAGAACTACACACAAATGCTCATAGCAGCATTATTCACAATGGCATAAAAGTGGAAACAATCCAAATGTCCATCAACTGATGAATGGATCAATGAAATGCAGGATATTCCTACATGAAATATAATCTAGCCATAAAAAAAAATGAAGTACTCAGGAATGCCCTTGTGGTCCAGAGGTCAGGACTCCACGTTTTCATTGCCAAAGGTGCAGGTTCAATCCCTGGTTGGGGAACTAAGATCCCTGGAAGCCATGTGGTGTGGCAAAAAGATAACAGTAATGATAATTTTTAAAAGAGGATGAAGTATTGATACACACTACAACATGCATGAACATCAAAGAATACTGTAAGAAGTAAAAGAAGCCACTCATAAGTATGGGGTTTCTCTTTGGCGTTATCACCCCAAAGGGTGGGAGATGAAAAGATTCTGAAACTGATTGTAGTGATGACTGTGCAACTCTGTGAATATACCTAAAAACTACTGGGGACTTCCCTCGTGGTCCAGTGGTGAAGACTTCACCTTCCAATGCAGGGGGTGCGGGTTTGATCCCTGGTCAGGGTGCTAAGATCCCACATACCTCACAAACAAAAAATCAAACATAAAACAGAAGCTGTATTGTAACAAATTCAATAAAGACTTGTTCAAGTCAAATTCAAGATTACATATAGTATATATTTATATATAGATGAATAGAAAAAAATAATAAATCCCAGAAGGATAGAGACTAAACTATAGCAATAGTTTGCTCTGGGTTGTAAGATTACAGGGTCATGGATATTTTTCACAAGAGGAAAAAAAAAAGATTTCATTGACCCCGTTGTTTATGGGCTTTCTTCTACTCAAGGTTGATAGCATGTAATTTCTTTACAAGGAACATGTATTACTGGTTTAATCACTTTAAAATTTTAAACAATGAATTTTATAACACCTTCAAAACTATTAAATTAAGCCTTGACTCATGATATATATCATCAGTCTAATAAATTATGCCATTCTTTCATGCATTCTGGCCCTTTTAAAAAAATTAAGTAGTAGTGATTATTCTAGTCACTAAAAACTCCCCAAATGAATGTGTCTCTGAAGTGACAACAGGACACTGGAGAGTACAAACTGTTTTAACTGAAACATTCCCAGGCAGGACAAACGCTACTGTGCAGGATAAAAGCGCCTGCTACAGAAGCTGAGGACGGAGTGGTCTGGCAGTGTTCCCTAGGACTGCAGACCCGGGGGCCTCCGCCTGCCTCTGCAGACACGGAAGCAACACTAACTAGCTTTCTGAAAGCAATGCCCATGAGAAAGCCAGTGTTTTGTAGCAAGAACATTTGGAAGTGAGAGATATACTGAAAAAGGTACTGGACCATCAGAAAATGCCCAGAAAGCTTTGGGGTACATCATTTAGCCACAGGAATAAACTACCAAAATCTAGAGGGGAAACAGCATACAAAGACTCAAAGAAAAGGGAAAAACATTCTTTACAAATCTTTTGTAGAATGCCCCTTCACAAAGAAAATTAATTTTGAAATATGGGAATTTTATTCTAGAGTAAGTAAAACATTTAAACTGTATATATATTGCTCCTCTGTCCATTGGATTTTCAGGCAAGAATACTGGACTGGGTTACCATTTCCTACTCCAGGAAATCTTCCCAACCCAGGGATCAAACCCACGTCTCCTGTGTCTCCTGCACTGTAGGTGGATTTTTTACCTGCTAAGCCATATATACTGCTAACTAGTAACAAGTCTGTTTTTATTTTATTATTAATCATGTGCTGTGCTTAGTCACTCAGTTGTGTCCAACTCTTTGCAACCCCATGGGCTATATCCCACTAGGCTCTTCTGTCCATGGGGATTCTCCAGGCACGAATACTGGAATGGGTTGCCATGCCCTTCTCCAGGGCATCTTCCCAAGCCAGGGATCGAACCCAGGTCTCTCACATTGCAGGTGAATTCTTTACCATCTGAATCACCAGGGAAGCTCAAGAATACTGGAGTGGGTGAGTGAGTGAAGTCACTCAGTTGTGTCCAACTCTTTGTGACCCCATGGACTGTAGCCTACTAGGCCTCTCTGTCCATGCGATTTCCCAGGCAAGAATACTGGAGTGGGTAGCCTATCCCTTCTCCAGGAGAATTTCCCGACCCAGGAATCGAACCAGGGTCTCCTGCATAGCAAGCAGATTCTTTACCAGCTGAGCTACCAGGGAAGCCCATATGAAATGCAAAAATGTAAACAGTACAGAAACTATAAAGAGTATAAGTAAAGCTGCAATGGCAATTCTGGTTTTAAGTTTATGAAGCAATGGAAAATTCAAATTGGCTTTTCAGTTTGCCCCATCCTCCCCTCTAGTCACTCACACCACAGCTCCATCAACAATGCCCACCATCCAGTGGTGAATGTTTTTAACAGTTTGTTTATATCCTTCTAAATAATGCCAATATATCTAAAAATGTAAACTGTAGGATTCTTGAGCTTAACTGTCTGCATTTAATAAAAAGAGCATGGACTATAAATTAAACCGGTAAAGTGAGTACTCAATAAATGTAAAGAAATAAATGAAACAACTTGTGTCTTGGCCTCCCTAGCCCTAGGTAAATGTTTCTTTTTAAAAAACTTTTAACACAATTTTTAAAGGTTACTGCATCTAAGTTACTGCAAAGTATGGACTAGATTCCCCATGTTGTACAATGCATCCCTGAGCCTGTTTTACACTCAATAGTTTGTACCTCGTCCTCCCTCACCTCTGGAGTGCCCCTCCCCCTCCACTGGTAACTGCTAGTTTTGTTCTGTGAGTCTGCTCCTTTTTCGTTATATTCACTCGTTTGTTGTATTTTTCAGATTTCACATATAAGTGATATCATACAGTATCTGTCTTTGTCTTATTTCACTTTGCATAATATCCAAGTCCATCCACAGTGCTGCAAATGGCAAAATTTCATTCTTCTGTATGGCTGAATAGTATTTCACTGTACATACACATACATACACACACACTCTTATACATTCATCTGTTGATGACACAGGTTGCTTCCATATCTTGGCAATTGTAAATAATGCTGCTAGAAACATTGCAGTGCATGTATGTCTGAATTAATGGGGTTTTGGGGGGTTTTTTTGGATATATACCCAGGAGTTAGGTAAATGTGTTTGAACTTCTCTGGATTATATATATCTTTCATATATTAATATATACACACAGAATATGTATGCATGCATTAATACATATGCACAGAAAAAATTCAGGAAAGGCACAGACTAAACCTTAAAACTGGTTCTTCTCCGGGTTACAGAAGCTCAGGGCAGGGTCCTGTGATGACAAAAAGAATGCATGTGGCACTTCCCCGGCGGCACAGTGGGTAAGCATCCACCTGCCAACACAAGGGACACAGGTTTGCTCCTTGGCGTGGGAAGATTTCACACGCTGTGGAGCAACTAAGCCCATGAGCCACAACTACGGAGCTCGCAAGCTGCAACTACTGAGGCCCATTTGCCTAGGGCCTGTGCTCTGCAATGAGAAGCCACAACAATGAGAAGCCCATGCACAGCAATGAAGAGTAGCCCCTCTCGCCTGCATGCATCAATGAAGGCCCACTACAGCCAAAAATAACTAACTAAAGCATGGATTAAATTATAGTTTACTTCCAGGAGAGAAAATATAAAAAGACACACTCTTCTTGCTCATGTGTGGTCCAGATATTTTCAGAGAAAAGAAACACACAGTCCTCTCTGCTTACAGAATGTTCTCCTGCTGCTTTTTGATCTGGTGGTTATTATAATCAAGTGTTTCTCCTATCCTGACCAACATCCAAGAATTAGAGGGAAATGGTTAATAGTGAGTCATCCATTTACTCCCACAGACATTACATACCAGCTTCTTCTCACTATTCAGATGAAGAGTAAGCAGAAAGCTATGAGTTGAAAAGAAGGGAGAACCTTGCTTCTGACCACGCAACTTTAAGATCCTCAAAGGTTTAACTAAAGTCAAAATATACATTTATTTTGAGTGGAAGAAGTCTAAAGTAAGTTGGATGGAGAATATTAAAATGTGTATTGTTTAGGTTATGAAGACACACTTAGCATATCTTGATAATGTAAACAATACCATGTCTGTGAAAGGTGCTAAAAATATAAAAATGTTCCCATCTCACCTTATTCACTTCCCCTAGCCCACTTCATGCCTAAAGATACTGTTCATTATTAAGTTTCTAATGAATGTTACATCTCTGGCTAAAATCCATTACACACATTTCTAACAGAGCGGAAAAATAATAGCATGAAACCACCAACAGCAGATTTCAATATCTCCTAACTAAACAAATCTGAGCTCTGAACTCTAATATGATTTACCAGATTTTTGCAACATTAAATATTATTTTGTTTAAAACTTTAAAAAGACAAGCTAAAACTATCTCATGCTTTAAAAAGAATGTTCATGTCATTAGATTATTTACATTCAGAAAGTTTTCGCTTTTATAAAAACAAAAATTGCATTACAGTATACAATGCACAGCCTCACATACCTGTTTGGAATACAAGTTCTTTCCCTCCTACACCTGCTGCCTCCAAGTTAATAAAAGCACGGATCAAGCTGGCCCAGGGGTGCTGGGTAATAAAACCATGACTGGCCTGAATGAGAAGAAAACAAATATTGTTTAAACCATCTTACATTATTGAAGTCTTTATTTTGCTGTTTTAAAAGATGGAACGTCTATGCTGATGAGGCAAAGAAAAAGAAAAAAATAGAACAATCATTTTTTTCAAAGGCAGGGTCTAAAGACATCCTCTGTTGCTCTCCCTCTGCCTAATGGCCGTGTGCAATTTGCTCAGTGGAAAGTCACTCATCACAGAAGGCGGCCTCATTTCCATAAGTGAAGCCAAATAGCATCTTTAGTAAGTGTGAGCCTGTGCAAAAGAAAACGCAAAACAAAAGAAGGCACTATTCCTATGGTTGGGCACTCATGACATGTGCCTGCCTCAAAGCATCTCTGAAACTCTAGAAAACCTGAGGCAAATAATTATGCCATCAGAGAGCCCTTTAATGAATAAAACACTGACAAGATGATCTGTCCTAAGTTTTCAAAATTAAGCATGCATACATAAGTGGCTATCAATTTTTTTTTAAGCACTGCCTGTACAGTATTTCTTTCGCATGTCATTTTCTACTACTCCATCAAAACCCATGTGTTAGCTATTATTATTATTCTCATTGTCACTATTACTCAAGCCTAGTCTTTAAAATAGTGAAAGCTCACTTGCAAGACGTTCTCCTCAGCACCATTAAAGAGAAATATGACCGCATGATATAAGGCTTCTGAAGATGTCGACAAGACACGAAGGACTTCCAGCATCACTGAACAGCTAACTGCGTCATCGCTGGCACCTTTAAATCAGAAAAACAGATTTGCTTCTCAGATTTTAAAACCTTTACAGCACAAACCATCATGGCAAGAAATGGAGGCGGCATCACAACAGCTGCAGCGGCACAGCTCTGCCGTCGTCAGGTGATAACCGCACCCACCAGCAGCGACCCCCAGGACAGCGATCTTTGGTTTGCTCGCTGACTCAGTATCTCCAACTGTGCCTGGTCCCACAGCAGTTGCTCAGTTAGCATTTGTCAACTAATCAACTAGAGGGGACCTAGAGCAATACTGAAAACTGCCATGCTCATCACCAAAAGCAATTTAATTTATCCTTATTCTACATCCTCTGTAGTATCTTCACTTCTGGTTTCCTATGTCATCTCCAACTGCCACCTACTCCTTTCCTGCTAGTTTTTCTGCCAAAATCATAAAAGCTGCAGATCACTCCACATTTAGAGGGGTCAGTTTGGATAGTGTAGCAATATTTTAAAAGTTTCTCCAAGGGGATCGTGTGATGGAAAAATACAAAGAAGACACCTAATAAGAAACAGGAAAGGGGATTAATGACCAAAGTATTAATAATATCCCTGGTCTAAGAATTGATAAAACAGAGGACCTTATCAAATCACTTAACCTCTTGATTCAGAAACTTTAGATATTAATCAAAGGTGACTATAAGGGTGACTTTTGTACTTAGACACTTTTAAAAGTACCATAAAAGGTAATTAAGGAAACTAACTGGATATTAGCTGATATTGTTAGCATGCTCAGTCATGTCTGACTCTGTGTGACCCCATGGACTGTAAGCCCGCCAGGCTCCTCTATCCATGGGATTTTCCAGGCAAGAATACAGGAATAGGTTGCCATTTCCTACTCCAATTTGCTGGTATTAAGGAATTACTACTAAGTTTTTCAGTGAGGTAATTCATGGTATTATGAGCATGTCAAAAAAAGAGTTCTTATCTTTCAATGATACAGCCCAAAATATCTACAGAGGAGCTGATATACCTGAGATCTGCTTCAAAATAGTCAAGGGGAGGCGGTGGGGGAGTACAGAAAAAACAAGATTGAACTGTTGAAGCTGGGTGACAGGAACACTCAGGTTCATTAAACTATTCTTTTTGTATACACTTGAAATTTTCCATAATGAAAAGTTTAAAGAATAATCAAAGTAAACAGACACAGTAATAACCCAGGCAACAGCACTTCTGGGTTTACATACTGGGAGGCAGGGTGCTACAGAGATTAGTGTAGGTTTTGGAGTAAGAAAGACTTGGATGTAAATTCTAGCTCTGCCCCTTTTCTCCTTCCTGGACTGGAGGGCAAATTAATGACACCTACTCACAGATGTGCTGTGAGGATGACAAAGCAATGTAGTGTCCAGTGTGTGTGTGGTAGGCATTCAGTGTCAGTTTTCCCTTCTTTTCTCTACACATTTATGGGCTGCTTTGCAGCCAGCTAAAGTGTTTGTTTTGGTGTTATTCAATTCAAGACGTCATTCCTGCTTGAGAAGAAACTACCTGTTAGCTATGCTTGTCTTAGTAGTGATTACTGGACAGTAATTTAATCAAAGTGAAACAAAGTAATAATTACCTCATTACTATCGAGCAGGAAGTACATGTAGCTATTGATAAAAAGTGCCATCTTTCAAGAACCAAATGAAATAAGTGGTCTTTAATTTTGAGACTGTGAGTTACTTTAAAATAAAAAGCAGTAAAATTTTTCTTTATTCAAAGGAAGACAAATGGAAGTTGAAAGATACATATCTCTATAGGGTGGATTAAAAGTTAAACTGTACTTTTATCATCTATTTTAATAGCTCTGGTGTCTAAGAAGAAACCTAGAGAAGGGTCAGACGTCTTTAAGAAAGACAAGGAAAGTTATAGGACAGTATCAAAAGGGCTGGATGCTTAACCAACATCCCTTTCCATTTAGAATTAACATTGAAACTGCAGCCACCTCCAGAATAACAGCCTGGAACTATGCAAACCCAACAAGGTATTTAAGGCCTCTCTGTGGGTAACATTACTCCTAACTGGTATCAGTTCCTAAGTTTCAGATATCTTGCTGAGAAGTACTCTTAAAAAATACTCATACTTCAATTTGTTCATCCACTAAAAAAAATTTAGGTGATAGTCTATTTTATAAAATGTCTTTAAAACTATCTTTAACAATTTATTAATGACAGAAATTTCCCTGAGATTGTTGGCATGGGTATCCTTACAAAATTTTAGTTAAAAATGGGTTCCAGTAACCAAATGATCCCATCCTTATGCCTGGACTCCATATATGATTTCTAACATTTAGCACTGTTTCTGACACTTGTATAGACATCTTTCTTATATAATGCTCTTAAATAATCATGGTGTTAATTTGTCCCTTCCTAGATTTTAAGCATCACAACAGTAAGCAAAGGGTGATGCTTATTACTGCTTGAATTGGACATAAAAGACCACTAATTTCCCCAACACAAAAAGGTATTTCTGACTTTGTAAAAAACATGAGTGCCCGCTGATTTTTTAAAAAGCATGTTACATTCTAAATGCAACTGGCAAGATTTCCAACTAAAGATATCCTAGTATGAAAAATTTTATCAAGCACATAAATTTTATTTTAGACTTTGTATAACTCTGCATGTTTACATTGAGCCTGGTTTAAGTTTAAACATTCTGGAAGAACCTAATATTAAATAAATACTAATAACAAAAAAAGGATTTTTCATGCCAGTTGCTAGTCTACTGTTTCACTCATATTTAATCCTCACTTAATCCTCTAAGCAATACCATTAAGAAAGTACTATTATATCTCTATTTTTCTGATCAGAAACTGAGGAAAGAAGAGGTTAGGTAGTTTGCCAAAGGGAGTATTAACTACATCCTAATACTCCCCTTTCTTTCAAATACAGCTAAAAGAACCGACTAGCCAGAAAACCCAGGTCCAAGCCCTGTCTAAGATCAGTGGTGGTCAGCTAAGTGTATACCTATGTTAAATGAGGGGACTGAACCAGACGCCATCTCACTGTAAAAATGCTATTTTCTATTCTTCCCTATGTACATTCCCTAGCTATCGAAAACCTTTTTCTGAGGAATCTTACTTTAAAAAACTGAGGTTGAATTTAGGAGCTATTCATTCAACAAATATTTATTGTTTCAGGCCCTGTCCTAAACATCAAGTACTCTATTTTGGTAAACTATTTTCAGGGCAAGATTTATGGATTAATAATCAAAGAGCTCTAACAGTATGGCATCCCCAGTGGACCAAAATTCTCACTTAACAGGTCAAAAGAAAATGCTAGGAGAATCAGTCTCCAATTACACATCCCTTGAAGGCCAAGACTGTTCCTTAATCCCATATCCCCAGAGCCTAGCACAACACCTAGCTGAGTAAACACTTGAAGGGGCAGAACCTAACTCCAGGACTCAAGAACACACACTGGTAACAATGGTAAGGCTATTTCAGTCTGGTAGAAACACTCAATACCCTGTAGCTGGGCTGCTGGCACTAATGTTTAAAAATTAAGTAAATAAAGCACTTGAGAGAATACTATAAGGTAGAATCTTAAACAAAATTATACTATTCTAATTATCCTGTCTTCCACCACAATGAAAAAAAGGGTCTGTCTCAGAAAATGGTGTCCCACAATTGCTCAAGCAGTTTGGAGTTAGCCAACTTTTTGGGCTATGAGGACCTCAAAATGACCAAAAAACAGGCACATACCTGGTGAGTTTGCCACTGAGTCAAAATGACAGTTAGCCAGGACTGCATGCCGGGCTCCATCTCTGGGTTCCAGCTTTACCACAACATTGGTAATGTTGTCATAGTAGCTTGTAAACCCTCCCAAGAAGTCAATGCTAAAGGAGCCTGTGGGCCGTTGTACATCTACTGAAATCTTGTGAAGGCTGTTGCTTTGAACTTCAATCAGTTTAATCTGTTCCAAAAGGTAATGTACTGTCAGAATTTCATTTTCTGGACTTCCTGTAGTCCTGGGGCCAATGGATGTTATATGTTCAAGATAATCCCTGGAAGCAACGAAAAGAAGCATGATGACAGGGCGTGCTGGCTGAAAACTAACACTTAGAGCAACTTTCCCTCCACACTCCCCCTACCCAAAAGACAAGTTCTTTGACATAAAACAAGTTCTTCTCACACAAAAAAGGCTGCCTTTAGTATTTTAGGTAACATGTGAAAATCACTTGCTAAGTTCCATCATTTTTTTTGCCTTCCATGAATTCATCCCTTCAGTTTTCTCCACCCACACCACTCCCAACTTCTCCCAACACCCACACAGAATCAATACAAGGACCAGGGAGTTTATTCAAAATGGGTTAACTGCCGACGGGCTAGATGGGAAAGCATACAACTTTATTTTGTCATACTCTGGAGGGTTACTGACTCTGGGTTACTGATTCTAAGCAGCAGAAACCAATGAGCAAAGACAATTTAGTCAAGAGGTTAAATAAGCAAAGAAAAACTTTTGATTTTGAAGAATGGACTCAGTCTTGCCAGTGTGCACAGAGGGCCTAGTAACTTCAATTCAGGGTAAACCAACTCTACCCCTAAAACAAACAGAATTTTTTTTTTTTTTTGGTCTTTTCATTGCATGGGGCGGAGGTGTGTTTCAGGAAGCCTTTAAAAAAATAAGCTTCCAGTGCTTTGTACTTAAAAGTTTTTTGAAACACAATAGTTGTTGAAAACTCTGCAAGCATATGATTTTATGAGCTTTGGTTTACACTTAGGTTTTTACACTACCTCTGACTTAATTCACGTTTTCTGGCATACTTAAAAGAAAACAATGAGCAAAGTTTTAGTTAAAACTTGTTTTTAATTAAAACAAACAAACAAAAAAACCTGACACAGAAAGGACAAGCTCCAGAAATCTCAGAACTTCTGAAACTGTAAAACTGTGAATGTGCCGTGTTCCAGAGAAAGCCTCCATAGCGCTCAGATTTGAGACCTGTGACCCTTAAAAACTTAGATCACTGCATTATTCCCTTCTGAACCCTCCCCGAAAACCTAACTGGGTTCACAAATTTCACAGCTTTTCGTTTGTAGAGCAGGAGGCCAAGTAAAAAGTGTAAGTTTCTCTGAGAGACAGGGGACGACTAACAACCAGAAAGTGGGTGGAAAAGCCGACGTAATCGCCCTGACTACCAGCAACACGAGCTTAACAGGGGACAACGCGATCCCCGCGTCCCTTAAATTGTACCTCCAGACAGGGGATGCGCGAGGCCACGCTCACTTCACCCCACGTGCAGCCGGACAGGGCGGGCGAGCCAGGGCGGTCCCGCGGGGGCAGGCACACTCAGGTGAGGTGCCCCGGGTCGAAAAGGAAAGCACCGGCCTGATGAGAGCGGCATTACCTGGCTTGGTGCGCATCGAACTCTCCCCGGCGGCCGACAGCGGCCCCGCGGAGCACAAGTTGCTGCAGCGAGAGCTGCACAAGCGCCCGCAGAGCGAGCAGGTAGAGCGCTAGCCCCAGCGCGGCGCGCGCCTCAGACAGTCCAGTCCCCGCGCTCCGGCTCGCGCCGCCACCGCTCCCCTCCCCGCTCCGCTTCCGCGTCCTTGCGCCACCGCCACGGCCGCACGCGTCCGCCAGGGGCTCCTGCACCAGGGCCTCCCTCTCCGGCTGCTGCGCGGCCGCCGGGCCGTCCCGGCGCTCCCCTCCGATGCGGTGCCGCCTCACGGCCCCCGACTCCGAACCCCACTCCATGGCCACGAGAACCAGCAGCCAGCCCAACCGCCCCGGCCCGCGACAGCTCTGGGAGCCGCGGCGGCGGCCGCAGCGCCTCCTAGTGAGCGGACGGAAACTGCAGAGGGCCAAACTTCTTCTGATTGGCCGGTCCCGCGATGCCGCGCCTCAGGTTCTTTGGGCAGATTGCCGGAGGCTCAGCGGCAGGGCCCACACCCGACTGGGTGTGATGGGTGTGCCTTCTTATGCAGGGCTTCCCTGCCAGGTATTGGGACACAGATTAATAAATGGAAAGACAACCATAAACTTGGAAACGTGAGAAAAGAGACTGCTTTTTTTTTCCCATTTATTTTTATTAGTTGGAGGCTAATTACTGTACAATATTGTGTGGGTTTTGTCATACATTGACATGAATTAGAAGACTGCACGAGGGTCATCATTTATGCTTCATGAAGGCAATGGCCCAGCTTGCGTAGGGAGCATTACAACAGGCTCTGAACAGGCTCTGAAAAAAGTAGGCTCCTGGCTCTTCTGACTAGAAACAGGACTGCACAGAGGAGGCCTAGCCTCATGCTTACACATACTGTGATCTAATCACAGATCATCATAACCATGTGAGGTAGCCACTGTCTCCATTTAACAGACTAAGGAAAATAATAGCTATTATTTCTTGAATACCTGCCATGAGCCAAGGACTGTGTTAAGTGCTTTAATACACTGTCTCATTTGGCTCTCACAAGAATCCTGAAGAGAAAGTTTTTTTATTCCCACTTATTAGCTAAAGAACTTATAGGTAAACAGATGAAGGGCTTAAATCTAATTTAGTGGGCTCCCAAAACAACCTATTGCTTATGGCACTCTGGAAAGGAACGTTTAGAAAAGTATTCCTCTCTCCATGTCACCCTGTGGAGGATGAGGTAGAGCCTTGGTTTTAGAGCAGATCCTAGTGAGCGTCTAGTCTTCTTCCTGCGTGCTGCTGCAAGGAGCCTGCCTGCTTCAGAGCTCCGCATCTCCAACATGGAGTTGCTGCAGTGCCCTGTCTGTTAACTCAGAGACCAACTGGGAAAGTGCAGTACCTGACTGGCCTGCTCCTGCCGGCCACTTAGGCCCACTTGAGACCAGGGCACTCCTTATTCCCAATTCTCCAGTCACACTGACCTTTCAAAGTCCTTCCTGCTCACCATCTTTCCTTCCGCAGAGGATCTTTTCCCATGCTGAGTTGTCTAGAATGTTATTCCTTCCCCTCACTGCCTTGTTTTAACTCCTGTTTCTCCTTCAAGCTTAAGTGGAACTTCCTCAAGCAAGAACCTCCTAATCTAATGAATCCAGTTTCCTCTAATTGTAAGATGTCATGGCTCAGATCATGAACTCCTTATTATTGCCAAATTAAGACTGAAATTGAAGAAAGTGGGGAAAACCACTAGACCGTTCATGTATGACCTAAATCAAATCCCTTATGATTATACAGTGGAAGTGAGAAACAGATTTAAGGGACTAGACCTGATAGAGTGCCTGGTGAACTATGGAAGGAGGTTCGTGACATTGTACAGGAGACAGGGATCAAGACCATCCCCAAGAAAAAGAAATGCAAAAAAAGCAAAATGGCTCTCTGAGGAGGCCTTACAAATAGCAGTGAAAAGAAGAGAAGCAAAAAGCAAAGGAGAAAAGGGAAGATATAAGCATCTGAATGCAAAGTTCCAAAGAATAGCAATGAGAGATAAGAAAGCCTTCCTCAGCGATCAATGCAAAGAAATAGAGGAAAACAATAAAATGGGAAAGACTAGAAATCACTTCAAGAAAATTAGAGAAACCAAGGGAATATTTCATGCAAAGATGGGCTCAATAAAGGACAGAAATGGTATGGACCTAACAGAAGCAGAAGCTATTAAGAAGAGGTGGCAAGAATACACAGAGAACTGTACAAAAAGACCTTCATGACCCAGATAATCACAATGGTGTGATCACACACCTAGAGCCAGACATCCTGGAATGTGAAGTCAAGTGGGCCTTAGGAAGCATCACTATGAACAAAGCTAGTGGAGGTGATGGAATTCTAGTTGAGCTATTTCAAATCCTGAAAGATTATGCTGTGAAAGTGCTGTACTCAATATGCCAGCAAATTTGGAAAACTCAGCAGTGGCCACAGGACTGGAAAAGGTCAGTTTTCATTACAATCCCAAAGAAAGGCAATGCCAAAGAATGCTCAAACTACCACACAGTTGCACTCATCTCACACGCTAGTAATGCTCAAAATTCTCCAAGCCAGGCTTCAGCAATATATGAACCGTGAACTTCCAGATGTTCAATCTGGTTTTAGAAAAGTAGGGGAACCATAGATCAAATTGCCAACATCTGCTGGATCATCGAAAAACCAAGAGAGTTCCAGAAAAACATCAATTTCTGCTTCATTGACTATGCCAAAGCCTTTGACTGTGTGGATCACAATAAACTAGGGAAAATTCTGAAAGAGATGGGAATACCAGACCACCTGACCTGCCTCTTGAGAAGCCTGTATGCAAGTCAGGAAACAATAGTTAGAACTGGGCATGGAACAACAGACTGGTCCAAATAGGAAAAGGAATACGTCAAGGCTGTATATTGTCACCCTGCTTATTTAATTTCTATCCAGAGTACATCATGAGAAACGCTGGGCTGGAGGAAGCACAAGCTGGAGTCAAGATTGCCAAGAGAAATATCAATAACCTCAGATATGCAGATGACACCACCCTTGTGGCAGAAAGTGAAGAAGAACTAAAGAACCTCTTGATGAAAGTGAAAGAGGAGAGTGAAAAAGTTGGCTTAAATCTCAACATTCAGAAAACGAAGATCATGGCATCTGGTCCCATCACTTCATGGAAAATAGATGGGGAAACAGTGGAAACAGTGGCTGACTTTATTTTTCTGGGCTCCAAAATCACTGCAGATGGTGACGGCAGCCATGAAATTAAAAGACACTTACTCCTTGGAAGGAAAGTTATGACCAAACTAGAGACCATATTAAAAAGCAGAGACATTACTTTGCCTACCAAGTTCCATTAGTCAAGGCTATGGTTTTTCCAGTAGTCATTTTTGGATGTGAGAGTTGGACTGTAAATAAAGCTGAGCACTGAAGCATTGATGCTTTTGAACTGTGGTGTTGGAGAAGACTCTTGAGAGTCCCTTGAATTGCAAGGAGATCCAACCAGTCCATCCAAAGGAGATCGGTCCTGGGTGTTCGTTGGATGGACTGATGCTAAAGCTGAAACTCCAATACTTTGGCCACCTGATGCGAAGAGATGACTCATTTGAAAAGACCCTGATGCTGGGAAAAATTGACAGCAGGAGGAGAAGGAGATGAGAGAGGATGAGATGGTTGGATGGCATCACTGACTCAATGACCATGAGTTTGGGTGAACTCCAGGAGTTGGTGATGGACAGGGAGGCCTAGCATGCTGCGGTTCATAGGGTCACAAAGAGTCAGACACAACTGAGTGACTGAACTAAACTAAACAGCTCCCTGTATGCATGTAATTATTTAGTATCTTCCTCATTATACTGTAAGCTCCATGAAGGCAGGAATCATATCTGGCTTTGCTCACCATTTTATTTCCTTCTTTTAACACGAAACATGAAACGTAGTATGTTGTCAATAAATATTTCTTGATTGTGTGAATAAATGAAATCAAAACAGTTTCATGGCAGAAGCATAATTTTAGATCAATAAGATCCTTTTTAGTCTTTAAGACCCATGAGACCAAAGACAATGTCTATCTTATTTCTTTGTTACTGTGTCCCCAGTGCTTAGCCCTGTGCCCAGCCCATGGTCATTGCTCAATACATATTTACTGAATGAGGAAATGAGTATGTATTGTCCTTTGTAAGAACCAGCTCTCTTGCTGTCTTGTCTCCTTCTAAAAAGTCGGCATTTCCATTGTCTTTAGAAGGTAAGACCTCAGAAGTGCCTCTATCCAGTGCAGAACGACAAGATGTGAAGATCTCTAGTTCCTAGGGATAGGGCTCAAACATCTCGTGGTCTTTTAAATTTTACACTGTGACTTGCTGAGCTGGGTGGATGTCAGAAAACCTAGGGATAAGTTCTACCTCTCAGGAGCTGTGTTACAACTTAAGTCGTTTGAGCTTTCTTTTCCTGAACGCATAATGTTTGCTAAGCATTTCTGACAATATTCCATGGGAGGCAATGTACCATAGTAGAAAAAAAGCCTGTTTGTCAGTCAAATAGAACTGATCAGTGGAGCTGACTCAATTCATCTGGCCTGACAGACAGTTATGTTATTTTTTTTAATGTGTCCCTTTATGACAAAGTGAGTTAAACCAACTTGCCGGGAATTGAGAGTCCCAAGTCCCCGTTTCGCCATCTCTCCATTATTTCCTATTAACCTGGACAAGGTGAGTAGAAGGGCATGCCAGTTGTCAGGTTTCAGGTGAATTGCCAGTCTCTGTCTTCCACAGAGGTCATCTCATGGCCTGTGTGCCTCCTTCCTTGGAAGAAGGGTTAATGGGGGCATATGGTAGAAGTTCTCTGGGACTGACTTTAACATCGAGGGAAGTGCCAAGCCAAGAGGTGAAAAGAGAATCCAAACCATTTGCAAAAGACAGAGCAGATGTCAGAGGCTAACACAGGATCAAAGACTGAGAAATCAAGAACAGTGATTACAAAGGCAAGAGAGACCTTTGATAAATACTGTAGATAGGTCCTATTGCTACAACAACAGGATTAGATGTACTCAAGGTGGTGTGAGGATGGGTCAACTATGTTTAAACATGCAGGAATAGGGCTATGCCAAGGTTCAGGAGACACCATTACTTTGTTTTCTGGTTTGTTTATTTGGGGCTCAAAGGGCAGGTTTAGGTCCCATCAGGTTTAAGAGAGGGCCTCAGGGTGCTAACAGGCGACTGGTCTTCCCAATTATTCCACTCTGCAAGGGAACATTTGAGAGCTGGTGACAATGGTCAGCTACAGGAAGCACCTGCAATAAGCCAGGCAGCCTGGGAGCTAACAGTGCTGGTGGAAAAGAGCTCTCTCAAGGGCACAGAAGCCAGATCTGCAAATCTCCCTTTTGTTCAGAGTTTTTCTACCCCCATGAGCTGAGCTGTCCCTGAAGCCTAGGAAGAGGGTGATAGTACACCACTCATACCTCCCCTTCAAGCTCCAGGCCGATCCCTCCTGTTCTGTAGTGTCCTGTCACTGGTGGCCACACAGGAGAGAGAAAACCAGTCCAGTTGCATTATAGCTGAAGCCACCATGTCCAATTACTTTTTTCCATGGCCAATTGGAAAGGAGATGCTCTAATTTTGGAAGAACCTATATCTGACTAAAAAGGCCTTTTGAACGGGCAGAAGACCTAAGGAGACATTTCTCCAAAGAAGAAATACAGATGGCCAATAGACATATGAAAAGATGCTCCACATCACTAATTATGAGAGAAATGCAAATCAAAACTACAATAAGGTATCACCTTACACCAATCAGAATGGCCATCTTAAAAAGTCTACAAATAATAAATGCTGGCGAGAAGGAGAAAAGGGAACCCTCCTACACTACTGATGGGAATCTAAGTTGGTGCAGCCATTGTGGAAAACAGTATGGAGGCTCCTCAGAAAACTAAAAATAGAATTATCATATGATCCAGCAATCCCACTCCTGGGCATATATCCAGACAAAACCATGACTCAAAAAAAGATATTCACTGCTATGTTCATAACAGCACAATTCACAATAGCCAAGCCATGGAAACAACCTGAACGTTCATCAGCAAGAGGAATGGATGAAAAAGCTGTGGCATATGCATACAATGGAATACTACTCAGTCATAAAAAAGAACAAAATAAAGCCATTTACAACATGGATGCAACTAGAGATTGTCATACTAAGTGAATAAGTCAGAAAGAAAAAGACAAATATTGTATGATATCACTTATATATGGAACCTAAAATATGATACAAATGAACCTATCTATGAAACAGAAACAGAATAAGGGACATAGAGAATAGACTGGTGACTGCCAATGGGGAGGGAAATAGGAGAGTGTAAGAGTGGGTGAGAGTTTGGGATTAGCACTTGCAAACTGATATGTATCAAGAATGGATAAACAAGAAGGTCCTACTGTATAGCACAGGGAACTATTAGTATATTTGATATTCTGTGATAAGCCATAGTGGAAGATAATATGAAAAAAATGTGTATTATGTATAACTGAGTGACTTGGCTATACAGCAGAAATTAACAACATTGTAATTCAATTATGCTTCAATAAAAAATAATTTTTTAAAAAAGACCTTCTGGAAACCAACGGGGTAAGAAAATTGGCTCTTTTGGAGGAAAATATAAAATTGGAAACTTGTGCCACATTACACTCCCCCCAAATCAAGTAAAAATCAGAATATGAACAACTTTTTAACTGATAAAAATAAGGTAAACATAATTTTAAAATTATAATTAAGATTTTAAATGGCCAAGGACTCTAATCAAAAAAGATTTAGAGGAAATCATAAAGTGAAAAAAAAAATCACATGTTGAGCAAATAATATTTTAAATTTCTGCATATCAAAAGCAATCACCAAAAAAATGAAAAGTCTAATGACAAACCTGAAACATTATTTTAAACAAGTTTTAAAACAAGAGACTAATACGTTGTGTACTCTGTCTCTCGTCCCCTCTGTCTTGAGAGATTCAATGTACATATCTAATTTCATTATATATTATTATACATAATTTATTATAAATTAATAGCTATATTTAACTTAATATATATAAAATCAGCAAGAAAAATATCAATGCCTCATTAGAAAAATATGTAAACCATTCACCCTTTGTATCAAAGGAACACATGTGAAAATGTAGAGCATTTAAACTTATCACATGGAAAAAGCTTCTTGCATTCTACTTTTAATTACAATATGCCTGCTGGCAAAAAATTTGATTGATAAGCACTTACATGACGTAGGTGGAATAACTATCAGAATGCCTTTTTGGAAAGCAATTTGGTAAGATGTACCAGGAGCCTTAAAAGAATTCACAATTTTTGATGTAGTATTTTCACATGAAGGAAAGTGTTGATGTGATAAACTTTAAAAGAAAGAAAAAAAAGAAATATGCAGGTTCCCTGATGACTCAGTGGTAAAGAATCCACCTGCCAATGCAAGAAACAAAGGTTTGATCCCTGATCTGGGAACATTCCACATGACACAGAGCAACTAAGCCTGTGTACCACAGCTATTGAGCCTGTGCTCGAGAGTCGGGCGTCACAAATTCTGAACCTAGGTGCCAGCACTAATGAAGCTGCACATCCTAGATCCTGTGTTCCACAACAAAAGAAGCCCCACAATGAGCCATGTGCCCCACCCATGCACCACAACTAGAGAGAAGCCTGTGCAGCAGTGAAGACCCAGCACAGACAAAAATAAATAATGATTTTCTTAAATGCAAAAGGATTGCTCATCTATTAAAGTCAAATATGTGGAAATGACTTCAGCATATAAAAATCCAGTCCAATAAATTATAGTACATCCAGAGTGTAGGACATCATGTAGTATTAAATACATTGCCAAAGTCTATCTGATAATTGGGAGAAATGCTCATGTTGTAAATACTAACAGAAAGGACAAATATAGCCAAAAGTGAATAAAGGATATACTTAAGAATATTAAAAACATGGAAGGAAATACATGGATACAATGACAGTGGTTTTCTGTGGGTGATGTTTTTCTTCTTCATTCATTTCTCTCTCTTCCACCTTTCCTATCATGATCTCAGTGTTCCCTTTCAGAGCCTCCGGCTGTGATGTCAGGCTCCTCAACCCTGTGCCTAGGATGACACTTTAAAATCTGCTGCACTTTAGAAGGCAGTTTTTAAATTGATTCCAGCATGGATGTGATCCAACAGGGGAATGCAATGTCAAAACCTCATCTCTGGCCTAAGCACAAGTACATTTCTAGACTAAAAGGTTTTAGGGTAAAGATTCAACAATTAATGAATAGCTGAACCAATTAAAAAAAATTAGGGGAGAATTTTCAATAGAGAAGAATTCATGCTTAGACTTTTAAATGGCTTTGGATTTTGCATTTTCTCTTCGCTCATCCATAGTACATTCCTTGTATTAGAGGAAAAGAACCCAGAGAGCTGGAAGTCTCTAGGAATTTACTTGAGGGCCACATGCCCAGGGCTTTGTTTGCGTTTGTCCCTGGGCTGTAGGGGCAGGAGAGCCGGGACAGAGATGGGTGACTCAGCAGTTTAGGGGGTGGAAGAAGCTGACTCCAGGCCAAAGTTCAGCTGTTTTGGACGTGTAACAAAATTAATGTTCATGTATGTTGCCAGGGTTCAGCACATCTAAGAAAGCACACCCAGAGACCACCATCTCTAAGCAACTACTTCACCTGCAGCCCCCAGAACCCCTCTTGCAGGCTCTGACCCAGGCCCATTTCATGTGGCCTGTGACCTCCGCTAGGACCTCTGCAACTGTGCTTCTCCAAGACGCCCAAAGGAGAAAAGGGACAACAACGGATCTGGGATGAGAATAACAAATCTCTCTCCCAGTGTGGTCTGAGGACCATGTGGCATGAGAATCACTTGGGTACCTGGTAAAAAAAATCTTCCTGTGCCCTACCCACCTATTGCATCTGACTCCCTGCAGGTAGAGCCCTGGAATTGTGATTCCTGCATACACTGAAATGGTAAACCACGGTGCAGTCAAGGGCCTTCCATCTCTGGTCCACAAGCCCAAGATGGCACATAGGCCGACTGTGAGCAGAGCCTGGGCCAGATGCCCCTTCTCTCACCTTTAGGAAGATTGGGAGACAGTGGCAGCAGTGATGCTGACCCAATCTGCCTGCTCTCCTGCACCCGCCATGGCCAGAAGGACTGTGTGGCACCTTGCCACATCTTATTAGCAGTTAGGAATGTCAGACCCAGATGGTTTCTGGTTAAGAGCATGGGTTCTGCACTCAAACCGCTTCCATCTGGGCTCTTTACTAGCAGCCTGCTTGCTGTGTGACCTCCAGCAGGTTATTTACCCTTGCAGTGCCTCAGTTTCTTCAACTGAGAAGGTTAATAGGGCTATTTTGAGGGCCTTGAATGGGAGACCTGGCAAGAGCTCAAGGTGTGAGAGCTGTTGCTCCTTTTCTGTAGTTTGAACCTATTCTGCAGGACATTCACAAGATGAAGAGACATCTCTGGGTCTCTGACCTGGTTTCCAAAACCTCCAGGTCACTCTTTTGCTGGTGACTATGTGAGTGAAAGGAAATGAGAGAACTGGGACAGACCCTTTACAGAAACTTAAAGTTGTGAAGATCACTGCAGACGGTGACTGCAGCCATGAAATTAAAAGATGCTTGCTCCTTGGAAGAAAAGTTATGGCAAACTTAGACAGTGTATTAAAAAGTAGAGACGTCACTTTGCTGACAAAGGTCTCTATAGTCAAAGCTATGTTTTTTCCAGTAGTCATGTATGGATATGAGAGTTGGTCCATAAAGAAGACTGAGCTGAGCACCCAAGGAAAACTGATGCTTTCAAACTGTGGTTTTGGAGAAGACTCTTGAGAGTCACTTAGATAGCAAGATCAAACCAGTGAGTCCTAAAGGAAATCAACCCTGACTATTCATTGGAAGGACTGATGCTGAAGTTGAAGCTCCAGTAATCTGGCCACCTTATGCAAAGAGCCAACTCATTGGAAAAGACCCGGATGCTAGAAAACATTGAGGGCAGGAGGAAAAAGGGACGACACAGGATGAGATGGCTGGAATGCATCACCAACTCAGTGGACAAACTCAGTTTGAGCAAACTCCAGGAGATAGTGAAGGACAGGGAAGCTTGGTGTAAACCTCAGAGATGAGGTCCTTAAAAGGGGCTAACTGGCGTGCTGAACCGATGGGGTTGCAGAGTCACACACAAGTTAAGCCACTGAACAACAACAACAAAGTTGTGAAAGGCAATTTGCAATCTTAGCCTGAGGGAAACTTGCCTAAGCTTGAAATACAGGCATTCACATCCTTACAAGTATTGTACATTTTTCTCTATCCCCACCTTCTTGGTGAGAGGGTTTGTGGAAAAACTATTTTCCTTTCTTATCTCAAGTTTTGGTCTTCTATGGTACAAAGCAGTCAATGAGCAAAAAACCAGAAGTACCAAGAATAGGTACTCTATTTTTTTTTAATAATAGAGTATTCAGTCATTAAATTATTATTATTAATATTATACAGTCATAAAAAGAAATGAAGTGCTGATACATACTACAAGTGGATGGACTGAGAAAGCATTATGCTACATGAAAGCAGCCAGACATGGAAGGTTGCCTTTTGTCTGATTCTGTTCACACACAATATCCAGAATAGGTAAACTCATACAGAGAGAATGCGGATTGATCATTTCCAGGTAGAGGGAGGAGAGGGGATGGAATCAACTGCTTTATGGGTACAAAGTTTCCTTCGGGGGTGATGCAAACATGTTGGAACTAGACAGAAGTGGTAGCTTATACAATATTGTGAATGTACTACATGCCATTAAATTGAACACTTTAAAAATGGTTAATCTTATACTATGTGAATTTTACTTCAGTAATAATAAAGTTATATTCACTATAAATTATACACAGCTGACCAGATAGTAAGTGGAATTAAAAAGAATTCTTAGCTCCAGAAACAGATGCCTGTCCAAGTTCAAAGTTACAGTACAATGATTTTCTACACCAATGCTATTGTTATAAATTGTGATGATAATTAAATCTGTGGGTTACGATAGCCTCTTATTTCCAAGCGACTCAAACTAGGATTTCTCACCCGAGGATTATTTATTAATTTATTTCTAAGATAAGCAGACAGATCTGTGGCAGAGATGCTCATTCTTCAGAGAAAGCAAAGAAAGGATCTTAATTCATGGCCTCATTTTTAAAACCATTTCCTCCAAGGTTCTAATTTCACTGAACAGAAAGAGTTACCCAAACACCCTGGTCAGAGGTAACGCTAATTTTTAAGGGACTCCTGTAAGATCGAGAGGCCAAGTCGAGAGATTCAGAGATAAAAACCCACAAGGTTTTGTGCTGTTATGCTCACAGGGTGGTTTTGACTAATTTGGGGTGACAGAACAGAGCATTTATAAACTATTTTCTGATATGGGTAGATAAGGTAAGACTAGAACAGTTCAGATTACGGTTGCAGGGAGTGGTAGAAACTGGGGTGAACTGTGACCCCCAAGCCCCATCTAAATCTGTGACGACTGCTCTGTGGAATTGGGAAGCCCAGCATAGCCAGGTCTTCTAATCTTTCAAGAAATGGCAGAAATTCAGATATTTATTTGAAAGTTTCTGCTCTGCTAATGTCAAGAACTAATTTTAAAAAGAGAAGGTCATTGTGCACACCAAACAAAACAGGTCTGTAAATGATCCTGCCTGCCAGCTGCCAGTTTGGAACCGCCGAACCCTTATCTTTAAGCCTTCAAGGACACCCTTGCCAAAGATAAATATTTCCCTGAGTAAGAATCAGATTATACACTGAATTCTTAGCTCTCAATTGAGGGTAAAGTTTATAGTGCTAGAGTGGATCAGTTGGAGCCAGTGTAGACAGGCTTCTTTCTTTTCTTTGCAGGTGACAGGTGAGTCCTGTCCAGTGCTTCCCCATTCTACTGCTCACCACACCCAACTTTATTTTGCTTTGAATACACTGGAGCATGAAACTGGTCTGCAGTTACAGCCCCGTTCCACCCT